ATACAAAACGAACAAACACAATACGTTCTTTCTTTCTTCTATTATTCATCCAGAAAATATTCTATGGATAGACTTAACTTCATTGGTTTAAAGTTCATAACAACAAATATTTTTTTTTTTTTAACTTGTTCATTATTATTCATTGAATAAGTAGAGAAGAAAAAAAAAGCTACTACTAAAATTTGATAATGGGTTTTTTAGCAACAACTGGAGCATTTGCACTTGTTTATGTTGCAGCACGTCTTGCTGCTTTTCTTTATCGACTTTTATGTCCAGTTAGACTTGATATAAAAAAATTTGGTGAATGGGCATTGGTTACTGGTAGTACAGATGGAATTGGTAGAGCATATGCAATTGAATTGGCTAAACGAGGTAGAAAAGTTAATTTAAAAAAAAGATATATATATAAATTAATTAATATTATTTTATTAGGTCTTAATATAGTTTTAATTAGTCGAACAAAAGATAAATTAGAACAAGTAGCAAAAGAAGTTCAAAGTAAAAATTCAGCCGTAGAAGTTAAAACAATTGCTATTGATTTTACAAGTAAGATTATTTATTTAAATAGAATCGGATACTTAGATAAGAATCATTTGTATTAAAGATTCGCATGAAAAAAAAAGATTTAGATAAGAACAAAAACATATGGATTTTACCAGAAAAAAGAAAAATCAATAAATGATTGTTGTTTTTTAAATTTATCTAGAAGACAATTCAATCTATGCAACAATTCATGAAAATATTCGTGGTTTGGATATTGGTGTTTTAGTAAATAATGTTGGAATGTCTTATGAATATCCAGAATTTTTTGATAAAGTTGAAAATAGTGCAAAACTTGTCAACGATATGATTAGATGTAATGTTGATTCAGTTGCTTATTTAACACAAATGATTTTACCAGGTCTATCTATTATTTTTACATTAAAATAATTATAAAATATTTATTTGTTTTTTATTACATATATATATATATATATAGATATGCTTCAAAAACGACGAGGACTTATTGTTAATTTATCAAGTGTTTCGGGTCGACGACCAGTACCATTATTAGCGCTTTATTCAGGCACAAAAGGATTTGTTGATTTATTTTCACGGTTAGTTAAATGTTGAAAAACAAAATTGATTTTGTTAATCCATTTTTTCTAATGTAGATCATTAGCTGCTGAATGTGCATCACGTGGTGTATTAGTTCAATCATTATGTCCAGGTTTTGTTGTTAGTAAATTATCAGGCATTCGTAAATCATCATTATTTTCTCCAACACCAGAACAATTTGTTAGCAGTGCCATTGATCGTATTTCACTTCCATATACAACTGGATATTGGGCACATGAACTTCAAGTGAACATAATTGAATGATAATGCTTTTTTTTTTCTTTCTATTGATATTTATTTAGGATTTTGGTCAATCACTTTTACCAGATTTTCTTTCGAACAAAGCAACAATGTTTGTCTTAGGTGGTGTTCGTGCTAAAGCACTTAAAAAACGCAACAAAAAACAATAAATTTTATCATTAGAATAACACTACATTCTGTTTTCTATTTCCATTAACTCACATATTACTTATCTTTGTTTGTGTCTAACACCAAGTTGACATTACTTTTAGATCTTCTTCTTTGATAAAGTCATTATTAGTTCTCCTTATTCTAATTCAAAATTTAACTTTATATTATCTTTTTGACAAAAGATGATATAAGGAAGATATTTTGATTTATGAATTTAAAATAAAACTTCTTCTTTTGAAATAAATGATATGATAAAAACTAAAAATTTTCTTATTATAATTGATTCAAACATTTAAAATAGATTAGATATTATTGATTTATTTGATATATCATATAAGAAATAGTCAAATCAAATAATAAAAAAATACTTTCAACTTCATTGATTAATAAAAGTCATATTAGAAAATATATTATGTGTATTTGTGAATGTAGATCTATTTTTTTTTTTAATTTTTTGAACAATGCTATTACCATTTGAATAAATTAATATTGAGTTTGATTTAACTGTTATTGTTGATGCATTAGGTCTATTGGGTGTGATAAATTAAAAGACGAAACTATGATCAAATTTTGACCTTATACATTATTTTTTTCCTATTCAAATATTAATAGAAAAACTTTGTCAAGTACATCTAAATATGAATAGAAAATATTGAACTATTTATTCTTCAATCACAATATTTTTTGTTGAGTATGGCATTCAGTTTTACAATCAACTAAGTGAATATATTGCATCGATTGATCCTTGAATTGCTATTCATTTATTTATATTAGGTTTTTAATAACAGATTAAGTCTTAATAGAATTTTCTTGTTTGTATTGTTTAGGAAATAATGTTTGAAGAGATTTTTGTTTGATAAATTATTCATATATATATTAAGAATTCTTTTATCAATCAGAAATTTTGTTTTTTTTTCATGACCTTCTTGATCTGAAATGAAAATAATTCTATTGTATATTATCATTTTCATAATCTATGTTATTTTTCTCAGAATCTGATTGATACTTATCTTCATTGAATGTTTTCGTGCAAGTAATTGATTGATTGAACAAAGTACTTGCTCATAGGGCAAACATCTATAGAGAAAGAGTTGAATGAAAAGAAAATTTTTTTTTTTTACAATCATAGTGCCTTTGTATGTATCGATTAATCGTTCAATTTAATTTATTATTTGACCTTGACTAACGATCGGAATATTTTGATAAGAATTCAACAAGACAAAAAGGTTTGTTTGTTAAAATAACAACTCAATAGAAAAGCATAAAATGTATTCAATACATTTTTCAATTGGTTTTCAAAAAGCATTATTTCAAATCTATGTTGAAAGATAAATATTAAATGAAAATTGTTCTAACGAATAGTACAAGAATATTCTATGTAAATTAGTTAATAGTATTGCATTTTGTTGTAATTTTATACTTATTTTTAGTTGTTACTTTCGAGGTGAACATTTGAATATAAAGATTGTATGCACTCATATGCTCAAGGCAATCTTATTGGTAATTTCTATTTAAGTACCGACATTAATCACCACTCTTTTTCCTCTCGAACACGATATACAGATTTTTTATTAAAAAAAAAAAACATGAGATAAAAGTCTATAAACTCATCGGCTAAACTTTTTGGATTACAGCTAAAAGCTAATTTAATATTTGATGAACATTAGTGAACTTCACTGACTAACTTTTTTTCAAGTTTATTAGATAAACCAATGTTTTAAGACAATTCATATAAGTCACATGTACTAATAAATCCAATGCTGAAAAATTTTCCAGTCGATTTTTTTCATGTTTTTCTCATATCTTATTTTTTAAGTACAAACATCTTATGAATATTTTTTTTTCTATACTACATCATCAGTCTCTTTGATACAAAATAAAAAGCCTATCAATACAATGTCTAATCTAGTCACTGGAATCTACAATTAGTCTATCGATCTATCTAAGAAAAAAAAAAAAAAAAAGAATCTCAAGAAGACATCGTATCTATCTTGTCTGATGAATGAATAATAATAATGCATATAAGAATAAATTATCGAAGCTATTTCATGACGTCTATACATCATCGACATCTCGTTTCGGATGCATAAATTAGATTTTTGAACAACAACAACAACAACAACAACACCATTGCAATTGCATTGATGAAAAAAAACGAGGAAGCTTGAGGATGTTCATGACCCCGTATGTATATGTCAATTCATATTTCTTTCTATTGTCCATCAGATGCTCCGTCGACCCTTCACTAATTTAATCAAACAAACCAGAAAAATGAACTCGACTAACAGTCAGTGTCGATTTATTCTCATTTTCACTGCAATGACAATCATTCTCATCATTAGATCTTCCATATATATATATATATATACATGGTTAGTACGTTGTAGTAGATGTGCTTTTTTATTCATTCAATTAGTATATGGAAGCCATTCGCGCTCGATCAGCATCGAGACATTTCCGATTTATCTATGACAATCGACAAAAAAAAACGAATTAGTCTGGACTACAACATTGGCGACATTTTTTCTTCCTTTTCAATTTTTTTCCTCTTTGTCTTTTTTATGTCTATCGACATTTCTATTCGACTAAAATTTGGCTGAGTTCATCTCACACACACGTATTCAATTCATATCTAGTTCCGTGCGACATACACAACTAAATGGAAACATGGTAATAATGGTGAAACGAAGAAAAGAACTAGTTCACACACATACATTTTTTTTTGTGCGTATAAAAGACTACGCCTTCTGGTGTCTGACTCTTTTTTTTTCTTCTCTCTCTCTCTCTCTCTCTCGCTTGCTCTCTCATTCTGAAAGAGTGTTCAACCAATTTTTTTTTTAGAGCGAAGAAGGGTGCATAGAAAAGAGAAAGAAACAGAATGTGTTCGGTCGCGCGCGTATGTCTAAAGGATGCTTCCATCTCAGCACGAGAGTGCACGCAAGAGAGGATAATGGAAAATTAAATAGAAGAGAAGAATAACACTCATCGAAAAGAGAGATTGACAAAAAAAAAAAAAAAGTTCAACTAACTTAGTCGGTAAGTAAATTGATGAAACCAACGGGTTCCTTTATTTTTGTTTAATTGAAGACTTTTTTTTCTTTTAACACTTTTTCACTAGCGACAATATGAAAGATCATCCAAGAGAAAGTATTCAGCGCACGCTAACATCACCAAAAAATCACTAGAGACAGAGAGAAGAAAAAAAGAAGAAGAAATGAGAAACAACGATAGAGAAAAAAGTTGCGGAAGAGTATGAAAAAAAAAAGAAACATGGTCCTTTTCTTAACTTCTATTTGATGCGCGCATGCTTGATGTCTTTGAAGAATATTCAACTCTCGTCTATGACATTATATGATGACTAAACATGATAATAAGGTTTTCTTTTTTTTTTTTCTTATGACGACATCATACCTTAAGAAACAACACATACTTAATTAATGTTTCATGTTAGGAAAATTTGAATAAATATTTTTTAGATCAAATCATTGAATATGGGTAATGTATCACCACGTCAATCAAAATCTTGTCATGATGAACTTAATAATCATCATTCATTATCATCATCATCATCATCAACAACAACAACAGCAACAACAACAACCACAACACCCAATCGTTCATCATGGAAAAAACAATTACAAATAATAAATGATACATTAAATATAAAAAAATTTTCTTTACGTCATTCACATCGAAGAAATAGACGTTATAGAACAACTATTGATGAAAATAATCATCATAAATTATCAACATCATTAACAACACAAAATTTTCGTGATTTAATGAAAAAAAATTGTGAAAAATCAAATAAAGAAAACCATATTTCAAAAAAATTACAACAAGAATTTAATCATGAACGACAGATGAATTTTAAAAAATCATTTAGTCTTTTTTCCATTAAACAACCATTGAATGATTCAACTAATAAACAAATTATGACAAAATCAATTAATAATACAACAAATACTATTCAAGATAAGCAAGAAGACCAACAACAATCATTATTGAACAGTAGAACAAAAAATTCAAATAATATAATTTCTCAAAAACAACAAGAATCATTAACAATTCAAGAAAACCAAACAACAGATACTCTGAATCAACATAAACAGCAATATCCATATGACATTAGAACAGGTGAATAGATCAGATGTAGTACTAGGCTATAATTAATATTCTCTTATACTATCAATCTATAATTATTCGTTTCTTGAATCTTGATTTTTTTTTTGTAGTACTTTTTGTTTGAAATTGACAGGAAGTTAATCACAGTATGTAATTAATTCAATTGGAAGGCAAATCAATTTATTTGTAAGAATATAGACATTGTAATTTTGGAGAACGATCAAAAGAATTCTCTCGTTTTTTTTTTTTTTTTTTATTCATAATTTCCTTGAGAATACTTTTTAGTAGTTTAAAAAAAAAAGAGAGAATCGACATATGTCGTGCTTATAAATCACTTTCCCCAGAGTGATTTGGAATTCAAATATCTATTTGATTTGGTGAGAGGTAACCAAGTATGAATAGATATATTATATAATACATATTGAATAACGTAATCAGTAATAATAAAAAAAAAGTGGATTGTTCCTTCGTTACAAATGCATCCGAGACTTCTCATGACTCGAATAGAACAATTAAAAATGCCCGGACTGAATACTCTTATTATCCAAGTCAGGAATTCCGGTTTATGTATATGTTATATCTTTTTTTTTTCTTTCTTTAGTTTCAAATACGGTAGTAAATAAACGTTATTCAGCATTTGTTCCACTCTCATATCATTTACCAAAATCTCAATCACAATATTATAATCAAAGTCATCGAACTCAATTGTCTTCCTATACAAAAATAAATAATAATTTATCATCAAGTACAAAAAATGTTCGTATAATAGAAAAACATACAACTCATAAAACAATAATTCAAGCATCAACAAATGAATTATTAAGATGTTTAGGTGAATATTTATGTTCATGTTGTTCGCATTTATTACCAATACTTGATCCAACAGATTGTATTTTATGGATAAAAAGTGCTGATCGTCAATTGATATTACAAGGTTGGCAAGAACAAGTATTTGTTAATCCTGCTAATATTGTTTTTGTTTATTTACTTGTACGTGAAACATTAACATATATTGTACCATCAACAACAATTAAAAGTGTTACTGAATTACATGCTATTGTTTTAACATGTCTTTATTTAGCATTCAGTTATATGGGAAATGAAATAACATATCCATTAAAACCTTTTGTCACTGATGATGAAACACGTGAAGCTTTTTGGCAACGTATTGTTTTATTAATGGGACAATTAAGTTCAAAAATGTTAGCAATTAATCAAAATCCGAAATTTTTTACTGAATGTTTTTCAGAATTAAAAACTTATGATCTAGTCCGCTAGTTAATTTTGTTTTTTTTTTATTAGTGCAATAAAGAATAATAATAATAAAAAAAAAAAATCATTTTTCTTGTGTATTAGCATTGTTCATCAATGTATTATTCGTTCCATCATAACGTAAATCAATCATTGTATTTATTTGATAAGTTATATCACGTATTGTATCAATAATAATTTTTAATTGATTTTGTTTTTCATTAAGAATTTCTTCATAGATTGACTTTTGTTTTAATAAACGTGATAATTCTGGACTATTTGTTGTTGTTGTTGCTGTTGATTCACGTGTTAAAACATATTCATGAATTTCACGAAGACGTACAAATAAATGTCTTAAAGAATTCAATTGTGATGTTATTTCATTTAATAATGTTTCAAAACGTGTACGTTTTTCAGCCAGATTTTGTGCTTGATGTTGTTGAAGATTTGGATGATGTGTTATTGGACGTGTTAATTGATAAAGCCATAAACAGATTTCTGTTGGTTTACTAACTAATTCTTGAACTGTTTCTTGACATTGACGAATACATGCAAGACGAGTTAATGGTTCCGATTGACCACTACCACCAAGTTTCAATGATGATGATGATGAAAGCATTTTAATAATATCTAGAATGAAAATATGAAAATATAACAGAATTATCATTAAGAATACCTTTGTCCATCTTACTCTTGTCGGTCATTTCTGGTTCTCAAAGTGGATAAAAACTGATTCGTATGAAATTTTTCTCACAGATAGATAAAACTGATTTTCCATAGGTCCACATCAAGCCAGTTTACAAATATCGTCTAATTTTTGTCTGATTGGACTGAAAATTTATTGTATATATATCTGAGTAGTGGTTTTGAGCTTTTTCAAAAATCTGGATTTCTTTGGTTTTTTTTTTTATGAGAGAAATGCATAAAGGTTTGGATCCAAAACTGGAGTACTGGTATTCAGGACTTTATAAGCTCGGATACGAAGTTCACAAACGGAACCGACGAACATTACATCTGCAAAATACTTACAAATATCCATCATCCAAAATTCAGCCCAATCGAACAAAGTCTGACGGAGACCCTAAACGGACTCGATGTAGTTTTATGGAAAATCGGACTTTTTCTGAAAATTTTGTTTATAACTTTATTCTCGAACACCTGTCTCCTTATTCGAAATGTTCTCTATCTGTGATGATAATATATTTCGGATCTGTTGTACCTGTCAGGAGAACTAGAAATGGTGTTAAAAAAAAAAAAGAGGAGGCGAAGTTCCTGTAAACTCTAACGTGTAAATATTATTACTCATGAACGCTTAATTAAGTCTCAAAATAAAAAACAGAAAATGCAATGAAATAGTAAAAATTCATTAAAATTAAGTATGCTTATCTCTATTTTTAGTACGTACGTCATCTTGGTTGACAAAGATGTTATTAATCATACTCACTGCCACTAAATATTTAAAGACGGTGATTTTCTTGTTATATTTTTTACAACTGCAATCAACATGAAATTATATTGCATGTTTTATTTTCTAGCGGAATAAAAAATAAAAGATAATGCTATTTATTAGTAATGTGAAATTATCAATTTGATTATAAAACTTACCCTTATTATATACAGAGTAATCTATTTGATGCGAAAAACAACATAATAATAAATAATTTTTATTTTAAAATATGTCATTAATAGTAGATTAGTTTTCAGTTCATCAAGCACTATCATTAAAGTAATTTTTCGAGATGATTACTTTTTTTTTTTTTTATGAAACCATTTAAGTCTCAAATACTTTCTTTTTTTCAGATACTTCTTATTAAAAAAAAAATAAGAGTGTCAAATACAAGGTCGTTTTTTTTCTTGTTCTATGTTTAGTTGGCTTTATTTCTAGAATGAGATTTGATGTATAATAGAAAAGTGAATTATGCAATGGCAACAATGCATCTCATGTAACGGTTGAGTCACATTCAATTTATGAATCAAACGCAACACAATTCAATTCATAATTAATGACAAGGCATATTTAACTATTATCTTTCTATGAAACAATGTACTTTAATTAGCCGCTTTAATTGAGTTGTCTAATGGCATCAATTATTTTTCACAGATTAAAGAAAAAAAATAACTTTCATGAAGAAACAAATATTGATCTAAATTGTGTTCGATTATTTCATAATAAATACAACAAAAAATGGAGCATTTCTGTATAATGATGGATTTAGATGGGAGCACTCGACACTATCGTTTCTCGTTTCTGACATTTTCTTTCAAATTTCTCTTAACTACAAACGCTCAACAGTTACTCGATACGATTTTCAATTGACTTCAAAATACGTATTAGAACTATGAGTGACCCTTCTTTCTTCTTTTCCCAAAATCTTAGATTCGCTTCTGTTTCTACAATAGAGATTTCAGTGTTATGACATAACAGTGTTCTAAGTAGATGTTCATTCACATAGCAAATATGTTCTTCTGATTAATAGTCGCACCAAAACTAAAGAAGAATGGGTATAATTCTAGTAACATGACAATGGTAACAGCTAGTGATCGAAAGTTTTCAGCAATCGAAAGAAGAGAATTTTGGAAGTCTTTTTGTCTGATACTATACAAGACACAATTATTTGAAAACTCATTATCTTCGAGGAAAACTTTTAAAAATGCATGAAAATGATATTTCACTTCAAGAAAATTTCCTTTAAATCATCGGAATTCTGTGTAATTTCACCAAGTAGATATTTGAATTTGTTTTCCCAAATTTCAGATATGAGAAGATAACCGTCTGAGTGGTTTCTCGAACTACAGATATGAATCTCTCCTATCTAAAGAACATGTCGAAATCAAAATGATATCAAAACAGAACACCATTTTCATGCATTTTTTACAATGTGTTGCCAAGATAATAGATTTTTTTTTTAAATAATTTTGTCTTATATCGTATTAAAATAAAAAGCCTTTCAACATTCTCTTCTCCGAATTGCTGAAAATTGCAGGTCACTAAGTGTTTCCGTTGTAGAATTATTGAGTTAACACACATCGTTCACGTGTGAACATTAATTAGAACAGACATATCGACAGCTACGATAGATGTTTCTTTTATGGAACAAAATGTTTTCATTTATGCGAAACTATAACGAGATGTATTCTAAAGACACAATGAAAACTGAGAAAGTATTTTTGAAAAAAATTTTTTTTTCATACTATAAGCCTGGATTCTTCTTCTATATATATAAATTGGTTGGTGCAGAACTGTATGAGAGTAAGATGGCGTATTTAGTCTGAAGTAATACCTAATAGTATTATCTATATGAATGAAATGACGAAAGAGTATGGTATTTTAACAATTTTGCTTAATTCATTTGATTCTAAATTTGGTATACATATGGATTACATCACTGGGTTTTTCTGGAAGTACTTAGAAATTTTATATCATACGAACATTTGTCTGAACTGGAATATTCCATCTAAGATGTCTGTTCTTTTTCTAAGTAATCTATATAGAAAAATAACATATTTAAATACTTCCTAAATTCATAATAAAACATTAGATTTCATATATATATACTTTCCTTTGTCTGTCAAGAAAAACTTCATAATTTCAATTGGCAAAATATTTTCCAATAAAATATGGTGTTTGTTAGTGACATCTTTTATACTTAATCAAAAACTTTTGAACAAAAACTTTTAATTTTAATTTATTACAATCAATAAATCAGTTTTTAAACAACTTATATATATTGTAAAAATAAAAAAACAAATTTGATTTGTCTTGTCATTAACGTCAACAATGGTAGCGTTCAAAAAGAAGAAAACAAACAAAATGTAAGAACAAAAAAGTACAAGTTCTAACTTCGTTGTTTTTTTTTTTGCTTGTTTCTAGATCAATTTAAATGCTTTTGGTAGAACTGATTTGCCGTACTCTATCATCATTTCTCAATTGATTCTGTAAATCCTTGTTTTGTTTTTTTTTAATAAACATTTCTGTGTATATTTTTATCATTGGTATATTTTTTTTGTTGTTACGAATTTGATTATTGATCGTACACATCGTTTTAATCGTCGAATATAAATCGATCTTGATCGATGTTCGTCGTTTTTCTCTAATGGACATACCTAATAATCTAAGTAATTCCAATACCATAACATCATCAACAAATCCACCAAAACGTGTTCGACTTGAAAGTGACGATTGGATTGATAAAGCACCACGATCACGTCTATTAGAACGTTGGAAAGAACAAGATTCATATATTGATTATTTAGAATTACGTTTACATCAATTACAACAATCTATTGAATCGAATGAACGTTTACGTGAAAAAGAAGCTGAATGTAAAAAATTAAAATCTATGCTTAATTATCGATTTTTATCTAAAACAACACAACAACAATCATTGGTATGATAGAGAAAAAAAAAAGCAGCATATAGAATATAAGGATAAATATATATTTGAATTTATTTTTCTATTATTTCAAAGGATCAAATGCGTGATATGATGCAAACACCATCATTAAGTCGTCTTAGACAAACATATTTAGATCCATCAATTAATCTTATATATGGACGAATGCGTGATGAAATTGAACAAAGTCGTAAAGCTTGTGATGAAGCACAAAATGAATTACATTCATGGCAATTTACACCAGATAGGTACGTATTTCTTGGATAAATAACTGATTCAATTTGTTTTTTTTTTTTTTTTTTTTTTATTTTGATTAGTAAAACTGGTAAAATGCTCATGGCTCGATGTAAAAAATTACTTGAAGAAAATGAACAATTAGGAAAAATTGTTTCATCAGATAATGTTGCTAAACTTGAAGGTGAAATAGCTTTACAAAATCAACTATTATCAAATATGAAAGATACACAAAAAGGTATATAAAATATTTTTGAATAATTTTCATATATATTTAATTTTCAAAATAGATTATGAAGATATCGTATTAGATATGGATACAAATATGGATGCAATGTCAAGTACATTACTTCATATGCGTCAACAATTAACTGATTCTCATCAACAAATAACTCTATTAAGTGAAGAAAATGCTCGTTTAAAAAATCTTTATCAATCAACAAATAAATCTCTAATTACACCAAATGGAACTATTCATACAGATTCATCATCAATTATATCGACAATGACAAATATAAATAATAATAATAATAAATTATCACAGAAACGATCACATTCATCAAATAGGACTACACAAAATGTCGCCACGACAAATAAATTAAAAACAACAACTAATTTATATGATTTAGATGAAACAATTTCGTCACCACTAGTACCACCACCATCATCATCATCACATGAGATGATGGATGTAGAATCTAATACATCGACATCAATGAACAGTACTAATAATAACAATAATAATAATAATAATAATAATGAACATCTGAAAAGGACTAATACGCTTGAAAATGGAATTAATGTTACAAGTTAAAAAAAGGAAAAGAACGGGACTTTCTATTGAGAGAATGTACATATAAATAAGAAAGTGTATAGATTTAGATTTTGCCTCGAACAAAAGAGGAATATATTAAATTATGTGATAGGGAACTAACAAAAACAAATCCACTCAACTTTATTTATTATTTCTCTCTTCATGTTTTATCTCGTCAAGTCCCCGGTATTTGTTTGTTTGTTTGTTTGTTTTTTTTCTGACGATTATGATGATGATGATGTCCTATTCTTTTCTTCTTTTTCTTCTTCTTTTGTGTTGTAATAGAGATCTATGTATTTAGTCGACTATGTCCTTTCCTTGTCATTGCATATATTCGATGGCGCTTGTGTGTTGATGACACTCTCTTTGGTTTTTTTTTCTCTGTTGTCATTTATGTGTCTTTCTGTTGATTTTTCTTTTTGACTTGGACAAAGCAAAAACATTTAAAAAAAAAATTATACGAAAGAAAAAAAACAAGAGATCAATCCTAATTTCTGTCTTATATCAATGATGACCAAAGATAAATATACATCTATTTTTCATGTGGTTAATACTATTAAAAACAACATGGAAAAATACACCAATTTTGGTATTTGAATAAAACCATCTAGACATTGATAATGTATTTAAACTTCGATTAAATAATGTATAGTAGTAGACAAATGTCTCTATTCCAACCGATCTCAACCACTGTATGTGCTGGAGAGCTGAATATTTGTACATATATACTCCATTAAGAATGTAGGCCATTAACATTGTGACATCATCATTGCTTAATGACAAAGAGAGGTATGATGGATGATACCTATTTGTTGTTCTAAGCATTATAACTTTAAAATTCTATACAGCTTATCAAGAAAAATATTTATTAATTTTTGATATTTTTACATATCACTGAAGTCTCGTCTATGAACTCTCTTCATCTAAAAAAGATGAGTTCATTTGCTTGAATATTAATATTTCTGAATCGTTGGAATGACCAAGTTGATCATTTATGTTTCGTTTCTCTTTAGTGCAAGATTCGCTTCTAAATTTGTACTTAATATTTATGTGTCTAACTGAAGACAAAACTTCTCGAAAAGTTTGAACTCGTTTGATTAAAGTATCACTGAGATATTGATCTTTGACACGCAGTAGGTCATTTCTTTCCACAACAATAAACACAGTAAAATGTGTATAGTTTTTGAAAGGATTGATGAACTTATATGAAATTAGTGATGTAGATAACTGGGCATAGCATTACATATTGAGGAACTGATAGACATAGAATACTCTTCTTTTTCATGCTAATGAAATTGACAACAAAAATAGGCTTCATGGATAATAGCTTCTTTTATAATTAGGCAATAATAGCGTTGCAATACACATTACCTAGAGTTTCGATGAAGCATGTTTTTACAAATGTTTATACTTTCAGTACATAAAATAGTCGAGATCAATTTAGGTGAAGATATTTGTTCATTAATGTTTATACGTACTGATGATTTATAGAAATAAGAAGCATTTCAAAGTGGTTTTTCATACCTTCTGTTCTTTAGAAACAGAGATCTAAATTGACGATTTATATGGTAAATATTGTATTCAATCAAACATTATTAGAAGTGAATCATGACTATTTCATAATGAACAACTTTAATCAATCTCTTGAAAATCATGAGGATCATATCAACACAATGAATAGTTTTTCGTCGCTCTCTATACTTGCTATAAAATACTGATCTATTCATTAAGATTTTAGCACATTCAGTTGAATAAAAACATCAATGTATAGAGTTGCTGATTTACTCCATCATCCATTATATAAGGTAGAAAAAGAAACATACTAGTATGACGTCATATAGCATGTCCTATTTTCATGAAAAATTTTATTGCAAATTCCATTCGACATCAATTTAATATTTCAATATTGTTTTATGTAACTATCTAATAAATTTCAGGAGATTTTTCAACTTTATATTTCACTTCTAATTAGATAAACTTGCATCTAAACCTCTAGTGTTCTTTTTTATTGAATAAAAGTGTTCATTATATAAGATGTAATAAAGTATTTAAAGAAAAAAACTAATGTTCTTTAAGTTAGTTGACTACTTCAAACTTATACGAAGTTGTTTTCTCTTCACCAGATGCTAATGTAAATGTAGCTTTAATTGTCGAACCATCTTGTGTAAAATTTGTAGTACTTTTCATTAATTTTAGTGATTGACCATGGAACCGTTGTTGATACTCAATATTAACTGGACGATTCTTGTAATTTTTCAATGTCAAAGCAAGATCGTATGTTGATTGTGTTCGTGTTTGTTTCACACTGTAATATGAAGTTGTTACATTAGTCGTATATGAAGAGACTAATGTTGCATTTTCTTTGTAGACTATATCAGCATCTTTACCAACGGAAAATTCATGTTTGTTTTTAGCAGCTATATCTGGTAGAGATGTTTCACCAACAAGACGATCAGATTCACGTATAATACAATTACCACTTGAAAGAAAACGGTCAGATGAAAGACGATATGCACGTTCGGCTTTACCATTTACATTTCCAGCACCATAGAAGTATTTTGAAATAGAAGCATATCGTTCCACAGTTACTCGTGGACGAAACATTGGTAAAAGATAATTTGTTTTAGCATCAATTGAAATTGGTTCACTGATAGCAAATACATATAAACCGGATACTTCTTCTCCTTGTCCAACCGATGGAGGGGGTGGTGGACCAGCCATACCTCCAGCGGCTTCTGAGTAACTATCAGAAACCTTGGCATAGCTTGTTGGCATATACTGGTACACTCCATACATTTGTAAGTTAATATCACCGCCTAAAAGTTCTGCAGATTCAATATCAACTTTTGATTGTCCATCATTTCGAATATCAGCCATAGCAATGAGAGTTGCAGGTTTCACATTCTCAAATAAATTCAATTGATAACGTGTTT